AAAATAAAAACTTATTTTAAAACTAAATAATCTTAAGTTTATGTTTAATAAAATATACAAAACACATTCTGTTTTTCTCATTGAATGTTGTATAATATTGAAAATGATTACGCAAGAATATACTGCTAGACCTCATTCATAATAAAATCTAATTGAATAATTTTATGTCAGTATTTACAATAGAAGAACAGTATGTTTTATTGTATTCCTCACCGCTGGCACTGTTGTTTTTATAATCTTAAAAACAGTAGTAGAAGGCGGTGCTCCATGATGGTGCAATGTTTAACATTCTAATTAAGTTTTGATAGAACTTTAAACTTAATTAATATGTTCAGCTTTTATTTCTCATCTAGGAAAACTAGAGTGTAACTGTAAAATTTTACTGTTGGTGGAATATATAATATATGAACCGAAATTTTAGTTCGTAACCGCAAGTGTAGCGAACTTAACTAGGGCAAGATTGAACTTAGTGAATTAAATGTATCCATCCAAAGTTAATTTATAAAAAGCAATAATTTCTTTAGCTATATTTCCACTGAAAATGTTACTTTTTTAACGTACTACAGAAGAGTAACTTAAAGATTGTGTATCAAATATTGAATTCAAAATGTTATCCTAGTGTCTGTCATCCAACCTAAAAATTATCATTAAATCCACTAAAATCGTTGTCCATGATTAAATCTTGTTAAATTGTTTATTGAATGTTATGTAACATAATATTGGGTTTTCACAGCTTATATCTCAAACTTTTTCTACGTTGAAGGGGAAAATGTTCAGTAAAATACTGTTTTAAATATACTCATAAATAACATCCATTAGTAAGAATGAGCGTTATATAATTTATTTAAAAATTAAATTGCACATTCTTCCATCTAGAAGTAAGTATATAAAATACAGATTACTATTATTTACTGACTTTATTATAATACTTAGTACATATACATTTCAAATCATCCTCCCCAAATTGATTGCACCACAAATTTACAAATAAAATAGATGAATTACAGTTATAATATTTTTGAAATTTTAAAAATACTAATAAAGTAAAATTAGCCTACATTTTTGCGTGCTCCCAAACTTAGAAACAATGGTCTACTTTTATCTCTTCACCTGCAGTTCAACTCTCTGATCACGTTTTTCTTGGATGGAAGCAATCTCTTTTCTAAGTGTAAGCTGAATATAAATTCATTCTGCTTTAGTAAAATAATAGGCGTGTGAATATTTTCCGAGTTTCGTCGATAGGGGATAATTTTGTACATACTGTACCTATTACGTACCTATTACGTGCAAAGTAATTGATTTAGAAGAAAACGAGTGAAATATTAGCATACTCTCAAGTAAACGATAGTTTTATGCAATTAATTAGTGATAGCATATTGAGTCCCACTAAAATTATTACTTTTCCAATCTACAATATGTAATATTTAAAATGTAAATATAAATAATACGTTTGCATTAGTTTTAAAGATAATAAGTCTATCAGCATAGAATGGTCACTATGTTTTCCAATGGAAATGATTTTCACTTGCATTGCCATATAATAAATTTATAAAATTACTTTCTTAATAAATTTGACGGAATAACCTCTAAAATATGTTATAGTTATTGATTACATTAAAATACAAATCTCACGTAAGCTCATAAACTTCTTGGTTGGTTTTAACACAGCTGTTTGGCCAAAGAGGCGAGTGCTTGGATTATTTCGAATGAATCCTATTTAAAACCAAGGATTGAAAAACTAAAGCATGAGCTCTTTCATGTGTGAAACCTTTTCATTCCACTAAAGTGGATTCTTGTGTTTTAAAATTCACTTTTTTAAAGAATTGTTAATAAAGTCAATTCAATTACCGTTTATCTATAAAAAAAACCTATTACGGAGAGCAAATAAAACAAACTTATTATAACACTTAAAAGATATATTTACGCTTATACTGCTACTGACAAGATGGAAAATATATATAAAATATTGTAAGTTGTGATCGATTTCGATTAGACACTCCAATCATCATCATTTGCCTATTGGGTCTGATGATGATTGGAGTGTCCAATCAAAATCGATCACCACTTACCATATTTTATGTATATTTATGGTCTGTCGAGTAACAGATAAGCGTAAATATTATTTTTAAGCGTTATATGACTTTTCTTTAATTTAATTTCCGTAACTTTAATAACAGGTACAATGCTGATCAAGAAGTTATTGAAAATATATTAGGTAGAAAATTTGATAGAATGCAGCCCAATTAAAAAGATATAGTTCACTTATAACGCAATAAGATAAACTTAAAATTTTTATGTTTGTTTTCAGAATTTTACTTCATCATCAAAGTTGTGATGGCGAAGTAAAAGATTAATGAGTTTCGACGAACTACAACTTCCGGAGAAAGTTGAACAACCTTGATTCTAACTTTTTCCTGACTGGCAAATGTTCTACAGGGAATTATAACGTTGTGTGATTAAAAGTCAAAAATAGTTAACTTTAAAATAAATATTTACAAATTTCACTTTAAGTTGAACATAATTTTTCAATTCTTGATTTTAAGGGTTCGGGTATGATACACAAAAAAAATTAAAAAAATGAAATTTAAAGTAAATTAGGGGCTGTGGCATAAAACTGCTGTCTTTATCGTTATGTCTGACTAATCAAAACAAAATATTGCATTTGGAACAAATAATGCATAATTGACATACGTAATAGATTTTCTCATTGTTGTTTTATCGGTTCAAAATCGAATAGTAAGAGCATATATTAAACATACCTCTTAGTAATCTAATAATATACATCCGTTACTATCAGGAATCTTGAAAGTGCTGCTTTTTAGATTAAAAGCCTGAGTTCCCTATATAGTAATAATTATGAATTCAGAGGCTAGTATATAACCACTTGCCAATAAGTTTTATTTCATTTTAATAACTTCATAGGCAATCTTCATACATGCCATTTCTGTATTATTTTTAACTAAATTAGAATGCACTTATTCAGTTCTCTAATCTAAAACACTGCAAAACATGCCAAAGAAAATAGTTAAATTGAATTCAAACGACTCGTTTGAAATAACCGTCAACGGTAGTTTCTATAACGTAGACAACACACATGGATTGAGGCTTGTAAAACTGGCTAACTAAAGGGATGTTTGTGTTTAGCAAGTGAGCAAACCATCAAAGACGATCTGTTTTGGTTGGGATGGAAGTGTGGTCTGCACTTCTATTACAAGAAAGTGGGATCTTCAGATGTTGAAATGGGAAAACCTGAACCACAATTCGTTAACCAATCGGAACCAATATGCTTAAAATACTTATAATTATAAAGAATATAGTATTTGAGTCATTTTTCCTGAACAAATACACTTCGAACAAAATCGAAAAGGTGATATGAATAACTTGTAGTGCGTTGGAATAATTATTTCCTGTGCATGCATTAAAGAGCTTTTGAAAATGTGATCAATAGCTATATTTTCATGTTGACTATAACAATGTGTTATGCTGTATCAACAACTAAACATTAGTGAAGTGTTGTTTTAGGTTTAAGTTAGAAACTAAATTTAATGCGTTTTATACATTCATCAGAAAAAATCAACAGCGAATGAGGTTGCATGCTATTTAAGCATTGTGTTTATTAAAATCTGAAAAACCTTTGTCCCCTTCACTGCCTCCAAAAAATGTAGTTCTCTATCAAAATTTAACACCGTCTATTATGAGTTAAAATACAAATTATAACTATAGTAGTATTTTAGTGTACGGGATTTCGTCTATGAAATTTCAAAGACAGTTGTACGCGTATAAACAGAAACACAAGTTTAAAATGTCCAAATTTGTATTAAGGTCCATTTACCTATCCTGCGACTGTTACGACTCTAGTCGCACGGCTCGAGCCGCGTGGCTGAAAAAATTGACTGCTTTAATGCAAAGTAAATGCAACCGTTTCCTATCGAGCGTCTACAGCCGCGCGACTGAAGCGACTCGAGCCGCGCGGCTAGAGCCGTCGCGACTGGACTGCTCCGTGAGCAGTTCAGTCGCTCAGTCGCGCGGCTGTTACGAAATAGTTCATACATACGGAGTTGAGGTGCGAATTGATAGTATACTGAGTTGTTTGATTGTGTGGTTTTTGATAGTTAATACTGAGTTTCAAGTGTGTGCCTTCAAAATCATGGATGATTCAAGGTTAATTGAACTTGTTCGTCAACACCCATCTGTTTTTAACCCCAAACACCCCCAATACAAGGATGCATATGTGCGAGAAAACGTCTGGTGACAGATTTCTAAAGAAACTGATGTACGAAGTAAGTTTCATATTTGTTTATTTAGTTAAATTAGCAACTTAGTACATTAGTACAAATTAATACATACTTAGTACATTAATACATTATCAACTCAGTCAAATAAATTGCAACTGCACTAGTCACACTAGACGTGGGAGTCGCAGGAGTCGCGGCATAGGAAATAAGACAAGCGTCTCCAGCCGTCGGCTAGAGTCGTAACAGTCGCAGGATAGGAAATGGACCTTTGATCTTTTTTAACTATATATAAAACGGAACGCATTATTCGATTGAATAACAGACTCTGGTGATTCTAGAGCTTAACATGTTTGTTTGGGCTACAAATTCAAGGTTCAGGATTTCCATTTACGGTCACTTTGGGGCAAAATGTTTTAGGGGAGTGGAAAAGTGCTATCTTTGGGTCAGACTGTTTCAAAACCTGCCTTGGGGGCAAACAACCACTCTCGACCGAGAAGTGGTGGGGACCTCAGTGACGTTCAAACTTAGCAGACCCTCAAGTTCTTCGACTTCCGTATCTTCAGTAGCTGAAACATTGACTAAACGTGGTATCCATTCATTACAATATTTTCTTTTGGTATTCACATATAGTTTAGGTATACAATCAATGGAATTTAACCAACAATTTTAAATAAGATGTAAATATCACTTTTACATTAGGTTATTCAAAATAATCTTCTATAAGTTTAAACAGTACTTTTAGTATTTATTTGTAAATAAACTTACTAGTGGCGCTGACGGCTGGGCCGTAGTCTGTTGATTTAAGGAGAGGCGTTGAAGACCCCTGGATGACGTTCATTCTTGTTGTCTCTGAAAATAAACACATATTTTAGTAAAAAAACAACAACAAAAAACATAATAGTAAATAATTTGTAATTTATTCAATATTGAAATTGATACTATACTCATAAATTATCAAACAACAGAGTAGGTAAGGTTTTTGATTGAAGTATCATCTAGGACACATTATTTTATGTAAAATGTTACAACTAAGAAAACTAGGGCGTTAAACCTTTTATATAAAGACTAGCTGTACCCGCGGGCTTTTAACTTCATATTCGTATTTGCATGCCTCAATCACGTCCTGGTTGAAGTTCGTTCGCAAGGCTCACTCACCTTTAGGTTGGAGCTCGTTCGCTGCGCTCACTTGCCTTTAAGTTGAAGTTCGTTCGCTACGGTCAATCTTCTTTTGTTTGCAAATTAGCTGTTGTTATAAATTAAAAAAATATATATAGTGCTGCACCCTGTCGGTAATCCTTGTAACTTTAAAGCTATTGAACATCATAGAACAGAACCATCTTGTTTAATTGAAACAGCTGTTAAGATTCATTAATTCCTTTTAAATATGAAAAATCATAAGGTTAACATGGGAAACTCGAGAGCCACTGGGGCGGAGCCCGAGAGTCCGATCAGAATACAAACTACTTAGTTTTCTTATTTAATGCCCAAAGAATCAGTGTACCGAATTTAAGTCTCCTAGGTAAATGGGAAGTGGGAGAATTAGTGATGAGTGAGTGAGTCAGTCAGTCAGTGAGGGCTTTGCCTTTTATATATTTAGATAAATAATTAACAAGTAAGAAGCTGTATTAAGATTTTAAAGACCTGTCAATGCATGATCCATTCTGGAAACAATCATACACAACAGACCAAACTATGTAACATGGTTATACTCTTCAACTCCCTGGTTAAGTATTGGTTGGTATTGAATAATTGATGTAAGGAGTGTATGTTAACAGTGCAACCAAAACTTGTATTGTCATATCTTACTATATGGTTGGCGTAAAAATTAAATATTGGATGGTTAGTGTGTGTTTTGAGGCTTGGTTAAATGGTTTTACGCAAAAGTAAAATTGAATTCATATTTGATGAAATTTACAAGATGATACATTTAAAAGGTTTAGTCCAAGTCAAAAACCATTAAAGTCTTTGTACGCAATTAGTTATACCAACACACCCACTATTACAAAGGTTTTTATGCGGAGTAATATGTCACTTTATTTTTACTTCTTTGCAAGGCTGGCCTTTCTTGAAGAAATGGAACTATAAAAGGACGGAGCGCACCTGAGGTCTTCAAGAGCTTTCAATTTAAGATAATGGGCAAAAGAATAAGTACCATTTATGCCAACATTTGTTATGTTTAACCCGTTAAAACCATTCCCCTACTTTGGTTTTAGCTACAAGTAATCCATAGTTTAATGTTTAATTGAATTATTTAGTTTATTTATAATATTACTTGTATTATATTTTATATCTTTAATAGTGCTTGTGTAAGGAAAACACGGCGTGATTAGGCCGCAATGCTAATTATATGGGGTAACGAGCTATTATATCGGTATCAATATCTCAGAAAATATTTAAGATATTGATCTAAAATCTGTTTTTTTGCTTATTTACATGTAAACAACTATAACCATGCAGCATAACTAGGATTGCTTTCAGAGAGGTGAAAGCCAGTTGAGCGGAGCAAGCGTGATTTTATATTTGTATAAGTAACTAAATTTAAATAGATGTACTAAAGCTTGTTTTAAAATTATAATAATTCAAATTTAGTTTGATTACTAAATCTTGTGATTCAGATACCTCTTACAGTGGTATGAAGTGGATTATGGTAGTTTTGACCAGGAAAATATTACAGTAAGTTAGTTGGAATCTGATATTAACATACAATACCCCCGCCGCAGCAAACCTGCAGACTAAGAGAATTTAAACTTGTCTGATTAAATTTTTACTAAAATATTTTCATAAATAAGACAAATTTATTACATATTTAAATAACATTAGATTTAACGAGTGCTTAGGTTTGCTGCTACGGGGAAGGTAAAAAGTGTTTTTGACCATACGTCAATAGTATAGGATGAAATAAATAAATTTGCCAAATTATATCAATATATATCCAGAAACAAGTAAAGTACAACAATTTTAATTTTCTTCATAAGAATAACATGGGAATCTTTAATAATATTTTTTTATCCGCTTCAATATACTAAATTATTTCTTTTTTTAAACTCTACAAAACGGTTTGAAAAGAAATTGTATACTTTTGTTTTTAGGGTCAAAATGGGAAAACCCCATTTTTACCCCATAAAACCCCCCATAAACGGGTTCCCATGGTCCGATTATGCTGGATCGCGACCCCGTTCTAATAAACATAGGTTTACACGTTTTTACCAAATTTAATCAAAATCGGATCATTTTTGCTCGAGTTATCGCGATAACGGTCACTTATATATATATAAATAAATATACAGTATATACACGTATATATATGAATTTGAAAGGATGGTGTTTTTTTGTTGTTAACAAACATCAATAGTATAGGATAAAATAAATACATTTGCCATATTTTATCAACATATATCCATAAACAAGTAAACTACAACAGTTTTAATTTTCTCCATAAGAATATCATGGATATTTTAAATTTACGCTTTTTGAATTTTCTCCGTAACCATTAGGCATACAACAATGCTTCAATATACTAAATTATTTATTGTTTTAAGCTCCACAAAATGGTTGGGAAACAAATTCCAAAATTTTATGTTTTTAGGGTCAAACATTATTTACTTGTTTTATTTAGCTTATAATATATGTATTACGTATAAAGGGTAATATATTTTTTTACAGGATAAAACTTGTGTTAGATATTATTCTATTTTGTTATATTTTATACCATGGTTATGACTTGTTTATTTAATTGTAAAATATTCTGTTTGTAAACAAAAGCAAACTATCTAGTTCATTGTGTCTTAGTTCAAAAACGTTGTCTATCTTGCTATGACAACGTGAATAAGATTACATTTTCAAAAAGGTAATTTTTTTGGCATACTCCCCAAAAAATCAGTTTCATAATCATTGAAAAAGATATGGAATAACTAATCCATCATAAATTTTTTGATTAAATAATCCTACCACATAATTATCTAAAATACATTTAATGTCTTTTTATCAGCTGTCTGAAATTGTGAATTGGGCATTTGGCAGTTCTGATTGTTTACATTTAAATGTCAACACAAAGGTAAACACTGTGAATTTTGTCATGCTTCCATGGAGACCAATTATATATTTTTTTTAAACCTCACCTCAAAACTTTGGACATCCAAATGGCGTAGCCCGAGTGGAACCCAGGGAAGTGAATAGACATATGATATTCCTAGATATGTAGATTGTGATTAATTTTGGCTGTATCGGTTTAGTATTTTAGTCATGGCAGCTAACCAGACAGACGTCAATTTTATAATAGTATAGAAGATTAAAGTAATTATTTATACAAAGGGAAAACTAATACTGTGTGCGTTAAGTATAGATGTACGTACTCGATGGTGCATTGCAAATTACGTTACCTAAATATTTCAGACTATCTAAATAAATTATGTGCCTATTTGTAGTATTTTAAATTGACTAAAAAACCAATTGTAAAATACCTTCCTGTGGTATAAAATACATGATTGTAACCATAGTGGTATGTAAAATAATTCTTTTTTTGTCCAATTGCTATTGTTTTAATCACCATTATGAAGACCTAAGTATGAATATTGTTGATACTAAGGGTAAACTGAATATTAGTTTTCCTGTATTAATGTAAAATCTTAGTTTTGATTTTATATGGGTAAAAAAGTAAAAGTAATAATACTTTTCATTTGTAAAATTAAAACAGTGCATCTGCCCTAGATACATAGTTAGCTGCAATAACACTAGTCCAGACCTACTGGTTTTGTAGTTTTTTTTTGTTTTACAGAATTATTAGGTAACAATTATTAAGCACAGAATTATTACAATAACAAACATATAGAACGTTTTTCTTAGTTTAATTCAAACCAATGAGCATACAAGGAGCAGTTGCTTGTTATTTTACAAACTATGCAACACAAATGCGCGCACTATATTAGTAGAGTTACGGACTACATTTACCACAAACCTAGAACATGATGCTCTTACATCACATTCTAGTGCACCATTATGTATTCCCATAACAACAACAACAGTTAGTATCATGTCTTGACGTTGCATAGCTACACATTCCACTTAGTTACATGTTACATGTAACGGAATATACCACAGTAAATTTCTATAAGATTACCCAAGGAGCTGATACTATATTATATTGGCATTACAAATCAACTCAAAATACAATAATACTCAGCGTAAAATGTTGAAAATACATGAAATAAAACAAAACAAATGTCAAAATTTTTAATGTTACTTGTATTAAGAAATAGTTATTTGTGCAACTAGTGAGCAAAGGGAGCAATTGACTCACTCGAGAGAAATAGTTACTCACGTGCCGTAGGCGAGAGAGGAATGGTTTCTCGAGTGAGGCAATTGCACTTTGCACTCGAGTTGCACATTATGTTTTTCCTACAGTTACCATTAAACAAATAAACTGGTAAAGAAACGTGACATATTTTTACACAGAAGTGAACTTTTAAAATGACAACATCTAACCAGCTGATTTACATCCAGTGCTGCCAACGTATTTCGCGCGCGTACGACCTTGTCTGCATGTTACTCGCTCACTATTTCGTGCCTTCACGTTGCAAATCTGGAGTGAGTGAGACAATGTTAACATTGTCTTACTGATGAGCGAATTGGCCACTTTGCTTTCTCAAATAGGGGAGAGAACATGTACATTGTTAGATAACGGTAGGAAAATAATATAATTGTTAACGATACAGGTTGTCTTTTCAAATGTATAAAACTATTCGTCGAGTTAAAACAACAAGTGGCTGTAGAAACATATACTTACAGGCAAATAAGACATATAATAACATATTACAGTATATACAGGGAAATGAGGCTAAAACTAACAATAG